TGTGTATATATATATATATATATATATATATATATGCACTTAAAGTCTAAAAACTTAATATTTCACCCAGGGGAGGAGACTGAGCAGGTGACAAGGCAGCCTTGGAGGCTGTGCTGGGATTCACCAATGTTGTAGCCCTGATTTGTTTGTGTTCTTGATCTCCTGGCTTTAGTTATATGTAGTATTATTCCTGCCAATAGGAATAGGCAGGTAGGAGACTAGATGAGTCCTGCTTTTTCTTTTCTTGCTTTATTTACTTCTGTTTTAATGGTTTTAGTGATAGCAGATTAGAATAATTTTAAAGCAATAACAGAACACTATGTCTTGTATCTAGATGTCCCCCTAAAGCCTCATGTGGTCATAGGTGGGAATTTTGGAAATTGGCTGGGTTGGGGTGTGTGAATGTGGATTAAGGATGTGATACTGAGATTAAGGGTGTGAGTAACGGAAGCCCCACCCTGGGTATAGGTGGCACCGACTAATAGGCTTTATAGCTTGGATGGATATAAAGGGACAGAAACAAGGCAGGCTTGCTGCTTCCTGCCTTCTGCCTGCCCTGCCCTGCCATGGGCTGTTTCTCCTCTGTAATGCCTCTCTGCCTGTTGCCTTGCCTTGGAGCCAGCTGAGTATGAACTGAAACTTTTGCAAACTGTGAGCTGAAACAAATTTGTCCTGTTTTAACTTGTGGGTGTCAGGTACTTTGTCTCAGCATTGAGAAAAGTAACTAAGACACAGCAGCGATAGCAATTTGATTTCTATCTGAGTGATACAGACATGCTAAAGAATCAGGAGCTCGTGGGCCGGGGATTTAGCTCAGTGCTGCCGCCTGCCTTACAAAGGCAAGGTCCTGAGTTTGATCTCAGGTACCAAAAAAGAAGAATCAAAAGCGCATGAGTCAACACTCAGAGTTTAAAGGTGCAGCGTCAGAGTGGGTCTGGAGTATGAGGCTTCCAAACAAAGTCCAGCTCCCCGTTATCAGATGAAGATTTCAGTCTAAAGAGGTTTCATGATTTGCCCAAGGTCCACGTACCAGAGCCACAGTGAGAAACCAGATCTACTGACCCCTGCCTGCCCTCTCAATTCATTTTGATTTTCTGTGTGTGTGCATGAGGGGGTGTTTCAATCTCTGCTTTTCTTGCAGATCACGTAGCTCTAAAAGTACAGGGTGACATTAATTGGAATTTAACAGTGTAAGACAAATAAAAAATATAGAGACTTCTACCAGTTATGCTAATACAGATTAAAATAACTTTCAAATATCAAATATGAATTTAATTTGGAAAAGTAAGACGTTGCTGAGTATGTTCTTGAACAAAGTATTATAATTCCTTTAACTGACTATACAGTGTTAATGTCATGTTGCATTTTGGACATTTAGACAGATCCAAACCTTTTAATACTAGTAGATTGAGAAAAAAATGAAAAATAAATCAAAGACAG